TTGTCCACTTATACAGCATATGATCGAGTATGCACTTATTCTGGATGTGATAGATTGTGCACTTATACTGTATATGAACATTTATGCACTTAAAGTGAATACAACCCATTGTGCACTTATACTGCATATGATCCCTAATGCACTTATCTTGCACATGATCCATTATACACTTATACCGCATATGATCCCTTATGCACTTATACTGCATGTGATCCATTATGCACATATACTGCATATGATCCCTTATGCACTTAAGCTGCATATGATCCATTATTCACTTATACTGCATATGATACATTATTCACTTATACTGCATATGATCCCTTATGCACTTATACTGCATATGATCCATTATGCACTCATACTGCATATGATCTATTATTCACTTATACTGCATATGATCCATTATGCACTCATACTGCATATGATCCCTAATGCACTTATACTGCATATGATCCATTATGCACTCATACTGCATATGATCCATTATGCACTCATACTGCATATGATCCATAATGCACTTATACTGCATATGATCCATTATGCACTCATACTGCATATGATCCATTATGCACTCATACTGCATATGATCCCTTATGCACTTATACTGCATTTGATCCATTATGCCCTTATAATTATATGATCTATTATTGTATATAATTAGGTTACAATAAAATTTTATGTTATTTTATATGAATATTATCTTATGAAAATTGAGATGTCGTAGAGTGATGAGTCCAGTATCAGATTCGAGTGGCGTATTATAGATTCGGGGTGGGGGGCGACGAAGCCCTGGCACAAAACCCTAGTTCAGAGGAGAGATGCGCTGAAGATCTTGATTTTGGGAGATAAACCCATAAACAGTGGTATTCTCTGCACATGTATTTACGAACGATCTGAAAATGTTCTTAGGCCAATCGTTAATATAAAGTAGAAAGTGGTTAGGTACGGAGACATGGAGAGAGTCTTCTGTGATGTTTGCATTAATCCCATGAGTTTCACAAGCCTGGCCATTGACGAAAACCTTCAAAGACTTGACTAATATGAAGAACCGGATAAACACGAAGAGTCCGCCAGATATTTTCGTAGCAGGAGAATTCGTGCAGCGACTTCCAATACGACACGTCATGCGTGGTCTGATATACACTATCCCTGGGAAGAGAATTCAGAAAGAGACTAATGTGCGTCATGCGGGGTCTGATATACACTGTCCCTGGGAAGAGAATTCAGAAAGAGACTAATGAATGCGTCATGCGGGGTCTGATATACACTGTCCCTGGGAAGAGAATTCAGAAAGAGACTAATGAATGTCCCTCTCCGATCTAGATTGGGTGCTTATGTAAAACGAGTATTTCTCCTGATTTCAACCCAGCTAAAGCTGGTACCTCACATATATTCAGCTGTGATTGTTGATTCTATAACGTCACACTGAGTTTAAAATATATTAGGATATGATCTGGAGTTATTTGGTTATTTAAATACGTCACAGAAGCAGCCAGAGAAACTAAACCACACAAGCAGAGATCAGCAGTACAGACTCAATAACGAACGCTTTCGTATAAACGTAGAGTGTTTTTTTTAGAAATCAAATCACCCCATGTAAGGCCACTAAGCCGCTAAGACACAAGCGGTTACAGAGTGTGAAAGATTAAGAAAAAAAGAGAAAGATTATTAAGGAGCGAGAACAATAGAAGAGTAATCAAGAAGACAACAGATAACGATAGACATTGCATTTAAATCTTTAAAGATCAAAACTGGCTGGAAAGCACGGAATCGGAAGAGAGCTACACAAGCGAGATGTGCGAGAAAAAAGGTCTTATCATAAGTTAATTCAGCTGTAGATTGTTGAGACCTTGTTGTCAATCTAGTACTGCATTTAGATTCATAAACTCTAAGTGGGGCGAAGAGTTCATTCGATAAATTACCGTAAAAATTATCTATATAAAGGGCACAGGCAAGCTACATTACGGTGGCGGAAAAATGACTGAAACTGAGATGCCAGGTCAGGACCAATAATATAGCTGATCATTTGGATTTTATCAAGAATCTTTACATATGCAGCAGGAGCAGTGGACCATATATGGCAGCAATATTTAAAGCATGGACGAATGGTAGACTTTTAAATATGCAAGATTTTATCAAGAACCTTTAAATAAATAGCAGGAGCACCAGAATATATATATATATATATATATATATATATATATATATATGGCAGCAATATTCAAATCATGGACAAATGGTAGACTTCTAAATATGTAGGATTTTATCAAGAACCTTTAAATAAATAGCAGGAGCCCCAGAATATACATATGGCAGCAATATTTAAAGCATGAACGAATGGTAGACTTATAAATGTATAAGCCGTCCTGGGTATGACGATAAACTACATCCGGCAGCAAGGCCTCTGATCGTGAGTTTTTGAGGAGCGTGGAACCACCTCTTATTTGCTGTTGTTCCCAGGTATACCCTGATCCGGGGTGGTAACGCCAAACCAAACTTCTCCGAAAAATCTTGTCGGTATTAAATAACTCATCGAGGTTGATACATAGTGAATCAACTTTCCTAACAGAAGATCTAACAGTGGATTCAATATAATCTTTACATTTCATGTTAGCGGAAAACATTAGCCAGAGGAAGTGCAATGAGTAACTCTCCTGGAGGTTATCATCAGCCATGCTGACGTAAGGCGAAAAAGGTTCTGTAAGACGATAACAATGTCATATCTTTTTAGAATGTAGACGATTATGGCTCTCTACAACTTCCTGTTTTTCGTTACCATTTTTATTTGTCCCTGTTTTGACATTTATTCACTCAAAATTGTTAAGTGGATTATTTGTTGTTTTCCTCTGCTTTTGATTTTAGTATGTCTTGCGATTATTATATTCTCCAAGTCTTCTTTCCTCATATGACCTATAAATTTTATTAGTCTCTTTCTGAATGCTGTTCCCATGTAGAGAGTTCCAGAAGTGAGAGGTGTGAAAAAAGAAATGGTTAGCGTAGATCTTACGGTTATATCTAGCCAATCGAACTGTCAATTGAGGAGAACTTGCTGCCAATCTAGTACTGAGCTTAAATTCTTAAAGTCTAGGTACCATAGCGAAGAGTTCATCTAAACAACTACCATAGAAGGTATATATACTAAAGCCACAGGGAAGCTGCATCATGGCGATGAGAAAATGACTGAAGCCAAGATGCCCGGTCAGGACGTATAACAATGCTGATTTATCATGGATCTCTAAGTATACTGCAGGGGACCCGGACCAATATTCAACACATGAACGAATGGTAGACTTCTAAATATGTAAGATTTTATAAAGAATCTCTGGATATATAACAGAAGCGCAAGAATATATGTGATAGCAATATTTAACGTATGGACGAATGGTAGACTTCTAAATATGTAATATTTTTATAAAGAACCTTTAAATAAGTAACAGGAACACCAGAATATATGTATATATGGCAGCAATATTCAAAGCATGGACGAATGGTAGATTTCTAAATATGCAAGATTCCCCCTATCCCTTGTAGCGCTTAATAAGGTTCGTCCATCTTACACCTCCCCCCCCGGACCACGTTCTGCCATTCACTTGCTTAAGCCCGCCAGGCATGTCATGCGTTCTCTTGTCTCGCGTTCCTTTATTCGCCCTGTGAGTATCAGATTCTCCAAGATCTCCCAGAAAATAAGGAGCACGAGAGTCTATGGTGATTTTCTAAGCCCGGCTTAGTTGTGGAACAAGGCCGAAAGTATGGGGCACCCAGTGAGAATCGAACTCACTACTCAGTCGTAATTGGTCTAGCAAGACAAGCTTGCTAATCATTATACCACGCCGAGGTGCCTAAGCACAAGAGTCTATGTGGCAGCAATATTTAACGCATGGGTGAATGGTGGACTTATAGATATGTAAAATACATTTAGGAGACAAAAATTATCTAGACCGACATGGTAAACTAGCTTTCTTGGGAGCAGAGCTAGCAATGAATTAAATATAGTCATTCCACTTCATGTCAGCTGAGAATATAATTCCGAGTAAACGAAACGAGTCACACTCCTGAGCGTTAACTTCCCAGTTAACAAGAAATTAGTTTTAGATCATCTGCCAAGTTATATGCATATTTTTGCAAGCGAACAAGTAATGTTACCACGTGATAGTTTTTCTACGTAATAGGATTTTCTTAAAGGTCAATAATAATGCGTTTCCCGAAGTCTACCCGTCAGCTCTGGTGTTCATGTAATTCATACACTTACGTATTGAATGCTTTCCTTGCATTGTATCAAGTTTTTGTGATGTATAGGTCTTCTCATCTCCAAGAAATCGGAGAGGCGAGTTTGCATCCCAATCGGATTCTCTATTTGCAATTACCCTTGCGAAAAGTGTGAATCCACCACTTCTAGCCCACCTATGGGTTAAACAGTCGGATTTATATCTGGAAAAATTATGAGTAAACTCTAGACAGAACCGGAAACCCAATTCTAAAACAGGAAATTGTCCAAAGTCCAGGGTAAAAGTTAGGGTGAACTGGACGAGAGGCGATCCTATCTACGCCTATTGAGGAAGAAATAAGTAGAAAATAAAATTTCAGGGTTTAAACTCGGAGACGTCACACGTCTAGAGTTGAAGTAGTATTTAGAAGGAACCGGAAGCACTATTCTAAACAGGAAACAAGGGACAAACATCGTTTCCTGTTCAAAAGACCGGGGAGGAGTGAGAACCGGACGATAAGCAAATATACTAATTCCTATTAAGGAAAAAATAAGTAAGTAGTAAATAAAATTTCAGGGTTTAAACGCAGAGACATCAGACACATAGAGTTGAAGTCAGCCTTTAATGACCCGGAAACCCTATGTTAAACAGGAAACAATCGATAAACCCCTACTGTTCAAAAAATCGGGGAAAAGCGTGAACCAGACGATAGGCAAACCTATCTACGCCTATATTAGATAATCTGTATAAGTACATGGTAAAAACTGACAAGATTCTCGATTGTTGGGATAGCTAAAAGAAAGAAAGAAAGAAAGAAAGAAAGAAAAAAAAAGAAACAAAGAAAGAAAGAAAGAAAGAAAAAGAAAGAAAAAAGAAAGAAAAAAGAAAGGAAGATAGAAAGAAAAAGAAAGAAAGATAGAAAGAACAAAGAAAAAAGAAAGGCAGATAGAGAATAAAAAAGAAAGAGAGAAAGAAAGAAAGAAAGAAAGAAAGAAAGAAAGAAAAAGAAAGAAAAAAGAAAGGAAGATAGAAAGAAAAAGAAAGAAAGTAGAAAAAAGAATAAAGAAAGGCAGATAGAAAGAAAAAGAAAGAATAAAGAGAAAAGAAAGGGAGATAGAAAGAAAAAGAAAGAAAGAAAGAACAAAGAAAAAAGAAAGGCAGATATAAAGAAAAAGAAAGAAAGAAATAAAGAAGGAAAAAGGGAAGAAAGAAAAAGAAAAAACAAAGAAAGAAAGAAAGAAAGAAAGAAAAAAAAGAAAAAACAAAGAAAAAAGAAAGGTAGATAGAAAGAAAAAGAAAGAAAGAAAGAAGAAAGAAAAAAGGAGAAAGAATGAAAGAAAAAGAAAGAAAGAAAGAAAGAAGAAAGAAGGAAGGAAAGAAAGAAAAATGGAAACAAAGAAAGAAAAAGAAAGAAAAAGAAAGAAAGAAAGAAAAACAGTCACGTGTCATCATTGTTCTTTCAGTTTTTATTGGGTAATGTTTTGATTGTTTTTTTTTGTTTTTGTTGTTTTTGCCTTTTTTTATTTTCATTACGTGGATGTTTAGATGATACTGTCTCTGCAAAAAAAAGCAACTTTTTTGGTTTGTTATAAAAACAGCCCGCGGTCTTAAGTACAGCAAACTAACTTGGCATTTTGTCAAAATGGACTTTTATGGCGTTTAATAGCCAGAGGCTAAAATCCACCAAACATTTGCTTCAATAAAATTGATCGCTTTCCGAATTGTTCATGTTTCTTGGGAGAAAACAGTTCAAAGGAAAACTGGAGCGAGTATATATATATATATATATATATATATATATATATATATATATATATATATATATATATATATATATATATAGACACTAATAATAAATAATGACTCCCGAGCTTATTTTTTAAATTTTTTTTTTTTTTTTTGCAAGGAAGTGGGTTCTATGGAAATTCTCTACTTTCTTGTAAGTATTTGAAACGGAATATATGAAGACAAAAAATAAAAAAAAAATATTGTCAGAGACCATTGACTGGATTTACCGATAATATACTTACACAGCTTCTTGTTTTCAAATGCCTTTCGAAAACATCTTTTCCGATGCCTGCATCTCAAAATACAATATTCTCTTTCACATTAAAATAATTATAACAACAACAAGGTAACGACGTATGTCCACTGGAAGAAGCACAAAATCGAAACAACTGAGAGATGCTATGAGCATCAAACAGACACTTTCTTTTTATGTGCCGTGTCCTTTAAGGACGTAGGCGATCTTGGCTCTCCACTTCCTCCTATCTCTTGTAGCTCTCAATAAGTTCCGTTCCTCTTACACCTCCCCCCCCAGACCACGTTCTGTCATCCACTTGCTTAAGCCCGCCAGGTATGTCATGCGTTCATTTGTCTCTCTTTTCCTCTATTCGACCTGTGAGTATCGTATTCTCCAGGCCCTACTTTCTCATGACATGTCCCCGAAATTTCAGCTGCCTCTTACTGATGTTAAGTATAAGCTTCCTCTTTGTTTGCTTCCTCTCTAAAACTTCATCGTTTCTCGCATGTTCTGTCCATGGTATCCTTAGCATTCCTCTGTAGAACCATATCTCCGTTGACACGAGTCTCTTCTTCATCTTTGAGGAGACCGTCCAACATTCGCTGCCGTAATGGAGGACAGATATCGCGTAACAGCTCAGTACACTTTTCTTTGTTAGCAAAGATATCCTACTGTCTCACAATACTCTGCCCTGCTTTTGGGATGCGTCCTTGGCCATCCCAATACCGCTGTAGAATCAGACATGATATGTCAGCAATATTCAACGTGCGGACGAATGGTACATTCTAGCGAGAAACATTGTCTGCCTAGACACTGTCAATCAACCTTGTTAGACGCAGCCATAGCAATGGATTTTATATAATCTCTCCACCTTATATCCCGTCAATCAAAGTCTCACCACCGTAACGTAACGTCCCTGTGCCTTTTCTATAAATACTTTTATGGTAATTGTTCAGATGAACATTCCATTATGCTACACAGACGATATGATTTTAAGTGCAGTGTTATATTGGTGACAAAGCCTCATCATTTTGCAGTTGTAATGGCGAGATGTAACCGTAAGTTCTATGCTAAAATTTGCTTCTGTTGTACTTCTCGCTTCTTAATTCTTGTTCATTTATTGTTCTCTCACTTTAATAGTATTATTCTCAAATTCTTAATGACTCAGTAACACTTTGAGTCATAGTGACTATATTACCTTGCTTGAGGGGGAAATGATTTTTTTTCTAAAAAAAATGAATATCAGTAGAAACAAACAGAGCAAAATGGTACAAAGTGTTGCTCATCGGGAAGTTAACATCAGATATTCTGATGAAGGGTAAAGTTAATGATAAGTCAGCTATACATCGTTAATAATAATAATAATGAGAAGAAAAAGAAGAAGGAGGAGGAGGAGAAGAAGGAGGAAGAGAAGAAGAAGGAGGAGGAGGAGCAGAAGGAGGAGCAGAAGGAGGAGGAGGAGAAGGAGAAGAAGGAGGAGGACCAGAAGGAGGAGGAGGAGGAGAAGGAGAAGAAGAAGAAGGATGAGGAGGAGGAGGAGCAGGAGGAGGAGGAGGAGAAGAAGAAGAAGAAGAAGAAAAAGAAGGAGAAGAACAACAGCTTTCGCTGACCATCAGCGTGAACTGCGTTACTAAATCTGAAGCTATTTTTTTCATCATAAGTCTTTAATCTCTATCTATAAAAGGCAGGATGTGTGTGTGTGTGTGTGTGCGCGCGCGCGTGTGTGTGTGTGTGTAACGAATGCACGGCCACAATTTTAGACGAATTTGCACCAAAATTTACATGCACATGCTCCAAGTTAGCGGAAAGGCCAAGACCGACTTGGCATTTCCCAACTCCCATCGATAGTGGAAATAATCGATTTTTTCGTGCTTCTACGACAGTTTTCATGTAGTTTGCGGCCATTTTCTACTGGCCAGAGTGAGAGCCTATAGCTGGCTGCCACGAATAGACAGGAAGATTCTATTGGCCTGCGTGAGAACCAACAGCTGACTGACACGAATGTTAACTAGCATGCAAAAAAAAATCGATAGCTGCATTCGTCACAAGTGGGAAAAATTTAAATCTGATTGGCACTTTACTCCAATTGGCTCATTCGCTTGCTTAATCTCAACATTGATTCTGATTCCGCAGAACTGGGTTAGGTGTGAAAAAGTATTTATTGTTAACATTCTTTTTTCATTCGGTTTTTCCAGTTACGAGTCCTTTTTTAAAGCTGATCGTTTTGTGTTCATTTTGTTTAGTTCTTTTTTTCGTAACTGATTTAATGTTTAGTATAGAGCTTAGAAAAAATTCGCAGTGTGAGATAGGCAAGAAGTAAAGCATGTAGCAACATCAACACGGCAAAGGGCACTTCTTTAAAGGCAAGGAAGGGCAAGAATATTTTAAGTCAAGTGATAGCGATTGCTGTATGAGTCGTACGATTTTTTAATCAAGCACGGGCAACGCCGGGCCATGCTGCTAGTACAGACTGAAAATCCTTTATCCGAAATTCTTAAGACTGGAAGTACTTCACTTTTCAGATATTTTTTTTCGGATTTTGGAATCGAGGCTATTTAATTTGGATATAGCATCTATAAAATGGAGCGAACGGCTTAGGAATGGAAGCCATGCATAAACACGATATCCCTTTACATTTCATAACAAATCTGATACATATACCCTGAACATAGTTTTACACAAATACACACCCTGAAGGTAGTTTTATATCAAATCTAATAATTATTTTGTATATACATATACAGATAATGACGCTAGTCATGTAATGTTTACACATATGTTTAACTGGTGAAATTAAGATATATATATAAATTATATATATATAAAAGAAATATAATGTAGTCGTTCCAACGAGAGAAAAGTATCTATATTAAAAAGAAGAGGTGCCGCAAACGGTTTTGGTTGTAATGTGGATTTATTTAGAAAAAATATTATGCTTTGTTTTACATAATTTTACGACACGTGTTTCTGGTCTCGCGACCGTCTTCAGGTAAAAGTGGAGATTTCCACATATTATTAAAAATAATTAATTTTTCCTCATGTTCAATGTGAAATATTCTCGATATGAGACATTCTTTGTTTGTGTGTTGGTAATCTGATTTTCTTTCTTGAATTGGCGATGAAGAGTTCTGCGCGAAGGGTCATAAAACAATTAAGGTTGGTCCAGCGAAATGATAAATTAGTTATCGGCATTTTATCTTTTAATGTTTTACTGACCCCTTCGTGCTCTTGGATCTGTTTCCATTTTGGTGCGTTTCTGTCAGCATGCGTGTATATATGCGTGCGTATATTTCCCCACCATACATATACTGTCTTACTACGAGGAATTCGTAAACTTATTTGTACCTATACACGCATACACACACATAAATGCAACACCAAGCACTACTATCTGATGTGAGAAGCTCAAGGGAGACGGTACATAATGGATGCCATGATTGTGAGGGTCAGAAGGATTTTTTGGTAAGCTATCAATCTCTACCAACGATGACGTGTTTTGTTTAAAATCTTACAATATATACAGGTACAGTATTTGTATAAAAAAAAGTCATAGATTCTAATTATATTTAAATGTAATGAAAACAGAAAAAAGTCAGCATTTTATATGTAAAGTTGCAAAAGCAATAATCATGCTACCGGTACCCATGTTGCTTCTTGATTTTTTTTCATTTGCGGCATCATATGTCAGCATCTGAAAAACTTTAATATTTTGAAGGTTTTCGAATTTGAGAATTTCGAATAAGGGATACTCAACATGTTAGATATAAAATACATTATCCCAAAGATGATAATACTTGTAATCATATATAAGCTACAGCACTCTAATCATCAGAATAGGTTTTAATCATATATAAAATACTACATCCTAAATATGAGAATACTTTTAATCATGTATAAGACATCAAACAAAACAAAGATTACAAACCTAGCCAAATTGAAAAATCCCTACATTCCCAATTCACATTGCGTGTGTGTGTGTGTGATGCGGCATTCACCCTGGGCGGATTGAGCCGGCTTCTTCCTGTTGTGAGAAGAAGATTCTTGGGATAAATTACAGAAGTAGGGTACCCAGGCCTACTCGGATAACGTTCTTGCTTGCCGCGGGGTTCCCACAGACGCAGAGACAGGAACGACCAGAAGCCGCCGGTTGCCGATGCAGACGCTCCTTGGATTTTCGCCAGAGCCCTTGTTAGCCGGCGTGTGTGTCAGACCTGTCCGCCTTGGGTGGCCCTACCAGGAACGAAGTTCCGGACGGCATAGCTCTGACACTACCGTTTACACCCCCCCACCGACTGTGAGGTAAGGGTTCCAACATTGCGAGTACAAGAGTCTGATAATGACAAACATTTGAGTCATTATATAAATTTGAGTTAAAACTAGAAACAGAAGCTCTTATCCTGGCAGCTCAAGACCAATGCATACTAAG